GATAAACCCATGTTAATTGCCCACGAAACAGAATACTTGAAGAAGAGTGCTGACTTGTGGAATCATTGTGTCTCAATCTCGAAAAGTGCTTGAAATATGTATTGCTTGTACTATTTTTACCGAATAAATTGATATTTCTCTGTTATTAGATTTCTATTACCACAAACATTTATATTTTCACTTTACTACAATATTCACTAAAGGGAATTCTCTCTGAAAAAGACAAACTTAAATTTATTATTTTCTATTTGACCTTTAAAACAAACTTTTCTATTAAGAATCGAATAATAATTTAAAATTTTAAATATTAAGAGTAGCTCTAAATATTATTGAGTAAATTTTAATTTTTGTATTTGTTTTTTTAGAGTAATATGTTTTTGATAATTCAAAAAGCGTTTACCATTTTTTCCTCAAAGCATTTTTATAAACTCAAAAACAATTAATATACATTCTTTATCTTTAGTCTTTAATTCAATAACCTTATATCAAGACCTCATAAAAATAACAAAAACCTTTTCACGGAGATTTTTAATTCGACTTTCAATGTGAAAACGAAAACTTGAAGGGGTGAGAAAAATTTGAATATGATATAGATTAAATCCTTTGATTTTATAAATATTTATAGCAAAAATATGCATTTCCCAATGGATCTGTTAGTTCACGTGTATCTTAATTAGTGTTAAATCATATCTAATGATTAGTGATAAAAACTAGTTAGATATTTATAGAAGCTCCTTTACCATTCAACTTGAGACTTTCGTTAATATATAAATTTAAAACAATTGATTAGATTCTACGTAGTGGTATATATTCTTAATATATCATAACAATGAGATCCTAATTATCATGTATCTTTTGATATGTTAGGATTCATTTGTTTTCAAAAGATAGATGTTTCACTATTTTGGGTTATTTGTTTCTATAATTTTTTTAATGATATGCAATTTTAACTTATATGTTTATAAATATGCTGTTATATAATAGCTATTGTTTAGTTATAATAGTTGATTCTTTAACATATACTCTCTCTGTTCCTAGATATTTGATGTTTTGGTTTTTTTTTTCTTGTTCGACAAAGATTTATGTTTTGTAATAGCAACATTACTATTTTTATTTGTGACCAATAGAGAAAAGAGAGAAATAAAATTAATTTTATTAAACTAATAATAAAACAATAAAAATATAAAAATGAATTTTTCTTAATTAGTGTGTAAAACTCAAAACATCACTCTTCTAGGAACATAGGGAGTATCTATTAACAAAACTATATATGATATTCTAAAT